TGGAAGAGGTAGCCGAGGAGGATCGGTGAGAGGTAGAGGACGTGGACGAGGTAGAGGACGTGGAAACTTTGACAAGTCAACGATCGAATGTTACAAGTGTCATCAGACGGGACACTTTCAATTTGAATGTCCTCGAAAAGATCAAGGAGTGAATTATGTAGAATTTGATGAAAATGAAGAACTGGTACTTATGGCTCATATGAAGAACGATGCTGTTGTCAACAAGGGGTATTGGTTTTTAGATTCTGCATGTTCAAATCACATGACAGGTATGAAAAATTGGTTTACTAGGCTGGATGAAACTATYAAACACACTGTAAAGTTAGGCAATGGGCTGAGATTGGAGGTAAAAGGCTTGGGAGATGTCCGTTTTGAAATAGACGGCATCACRCAAGTCTTTACAAATGTTTACTATGTTCCTCAGTTAACTTCAAATTTGATTAGTGTGGGTCAGCTTCAAGAAAAGAATGTAAAGGTGGTGTTTGAAGATGGAGTATGCCATGTTTATCATCCAAGAAGAGGTCTGATCATGAAGTCAACAGCSGCCAAAAACAGAATGTTCATAGTCTATGGGCATCAAAAGAATGTTACTAGTCATTGCTTGCARGTAGCAGATGACAACACTACTCACATCTGGCACAAAAGATTTGGTCATGTGAATCACAAGGCGATTAGAACCATGCAGTATCATAATATGGTGAAGGGAATACCTCAAGTTTGTGGAAAAACGTTGGTATGTGAGACTTGCAATGTTGGGAAACAAAGCAGGATAACAATTCCAAAGAAAGCACTTTGGAGATCCACTCAAAGGTTAGAGCTTGTGCACACAGATCTTTGTGGGCCAATCACACCAATGTCTCAAAGTGGAAAGAGGTATGTACTTGTTTTTATTGATGATTTCACACGCAAGACWTGGGTTTATTTGCTGGGAAACAAAGGGGAAAGTCTTGAGCATTTTAAGAAATTTAAAGCCATRGTTGAAACTGAAGTGGGTTCTAAAATTAAAATGCTGAGAAGTGATAGAGGGGGAGAGTTTACTTCACATCAGTTTGCTGAATTTTGTGAAGTAAACGGAATTAARAGGCAGTTAACAGCAGCCTACACCCCCCAACAAAATGGGGTGGCAGAGAGACGAAATAGAACACTAATGAATATGATAAGATGTTTGTTAGTAGAAAAACAGGTGCCTAAATGCTTTTGGCCAGAAGCAACTATCTGGGCATGTCACATTATAAACAGGTGCGTGTCKAGAGCTCTAGACAAGAAGGTTCCTGAAGAATTATGGACTGGAGAGAAGCCWAATGTTGATTACTTCCGTGTGTTTGGATGTATTGGTCACGTACATATTCCCTCCCAAGTCAGAACCAAGTTAGATGCAAGAAGCCAGAAATGTGTGTTGTTCGGCATTAGCATTGGTTCTAAGGCTTACAGGCTTTATGATCCAATTCAAAAGAAGATCATCATTAGCAGAGAYGTCATATTTGAAGAAGATCAACAATGGAATTGGGATAAAGAAACTACCAGGGAGGGAGAATTGATAATAGAAGAAGACCCTGGTGATCAAGTTGCAGTTACAGACAGTGAAGAAGATGGAGATATGGAACCACAAATTCATGAACAGGCCCAAGAAAGTGGTACTCTCATTCCAGATAAAGACCCACAAGCAAGCATCGCAGACCAGAGAAGTATTATAGTCACAAGTAAGGCAGTTGAATCCTCTACCAGAAATAGAAGACAACCTGTTTGGATGCAAGATTATCGAACTGGTCAGGAGTTATCAGAAGAAGAAGATGGATTTGCCATGTATACAGCTCAAGGAGATCCTACTACCTTTGAAGAAGCAAGAAAAGAARCTAAGTGGGTGAAAGCTATGGAAGATGAAATAAATGCAATAGAGAGAAATGGAACATGGGAGCTAGTAAATATGCCTGCTGAAACTGTACCTATTGGCGTAAAATGGGTGTACAAAACYAAGCTGAATGAAGAAGGGAATATAGACAAATATAAGGCAAGACTTGTGGTTAAAGGCTATGCACAACAAAAGGGGGTGGACTTTGAAGAAGTGTTTGCACCCGTGGCTAGGTGGGACACTATTCGAACCATTCTAGCTATCTCTGCTCAAAGAAATTGGAAGGTGTTTCAACTTGATGTTAAAAGTGCTTTCTTAAATGGTGAGCTCAAGGAGACTGTGTATGTTGAACAGCCTCTTGGATTTGTCAAACAAGGAGAAGAAGCAAAGGTGTACAAATTAAAGAGAGCTCTATATGGGCTGAAACA